AGGTAATCCATTTGCTTTTCATCAGGTAATAGAAGATGAGACTTTATGAGTATGCCAGGCTAAGTGCTCGTGTTTATACTAGATTTTGTTCTTTTCAGGGAACCGGTTTCTCTTGGTCTTCACTGATTACCTAACTAAATGGTGCGAAGTGGATCCTGTGCCAAACAAGTCTGCAGGTCAAGTCAGTGATTGCCTTATTAACTTTGTCTGTAGACATGGAGTGCCTGAAGGCAGAGAATTCTGCAATGATCTGAACAAAAGGTTTTGCGAAGTCATGGGTATCGATCACAGAGTTGCTCTCCCTATCATCTGTTGACTGAAGGTTTAACGGAAAGATTCAATAGAACTCTCTGCACAATGTTGATAACAATGGTAAATTTAGCACAGGATGACTGGGATTTACAACTGCGGTATGCACTATTTGCATACCGGACATCAGAGCAGAAGTGTTATTTCTCATGTACGTTTACTTATGTTGTTATTTGCGGATGATATGGTGCTCTTTAGCAATAGTGTTAAAGGTTTACAAGACGGTTTGGATATGATGTTTACTTACTGCACGAAATGGGGCTTGACCATAAATATTAAAAAAACAAAGGTTGTTATTTTTCGTAAAGGAGGTAGATAAGACAAGGCTGAAAAGTGGTCCTATAATGGTTCACCTCTTGAGGTAATCAATAGTTTTAAATATCTTGGTTTAATATTTTCAACAGGTGGCAGTTTTTCACAAGCTCTGAAAATCCTACCAGAACAAGGTTTGAAGGCACGTGGTTCATTGTACAATATATTCAATGATAATGTGTACATTACTCCAGATAATTTCAGTATCAGTTATTCAAATCAGTTGTTTCTCCTATTCTCTCATATGGTTGCGAAGTTTGGGGCTTTATGAAAGCTAATGCTATCGAAAGGGAACACTTGAAAGTTATGAAATATATATTATATGTCAAAATGTCAACTCCATCAACGTGCTTATATGGAGAATTGGGTACATTCCCTTTGAAAGTTATTCGTCTTGTCAGGATTATCAAATATTGCATGACATGTAAAACATGATCTAATTATGATCAGAATTATTTAGTCACACAAACATTAACACATCTAATGTGGTCTATGAAAATACCATTGTTCATCTGTCCAACATGTATGTGTTTCAGGAAAGTGAGATGCAACAGTGGCGAAAGCGGCGTCACTTCCCTGTTGGCTGTAATGACGTGGAGTGGATGACGGAGATGTTCTATATATAGATCTAGACTTAATCGATTCAAATAATAATATTTGGTCAGCAAGAGTTGTTTCGTATACAGCTGTTTGAAGTGCTTCACCGAGTAACGTCCCGTGCATGTTCCGAGACACACTCTGTCTTGAGGACGTTACCATTGAACGCGAGTATTTAGGGCATTCGTCGTTTGGCTCACATTTATATATGGTGTTCTGAAGCGATTTAGAAGATAATATGGCTCAGGTAGGTGTACAATAATTCAAGAGTATTTTATCATATAGCTATCAGTGATATAAAGCATCGTGCATGTGCGGTATAGACCAACATATAGAGACGTCATATCGCCGGAGTTGTAATAACCAGAACAGTATTACTCTCACTGGAATTGATATAGAATGTCAATGCATTTTCAATCGATATCAATCAAGGCGGTGATAACTTGGAGTTACGTCCCTTAGAGCGTCGTCTGCTCGTCTGGCTATCCTATGATTTGTTTGTTTGTTTGTCCGTTTGTTGTTTACCGCCGTAGCCTACACAGCAATATTCAGCTACGTGGTGGTGGTCTGTAAATAATCGCGTCTAAACAAGACAATCCAGTGGTCAACAGCATGAGCATCTATCTATACGCAATTGGGATGTACAATGCAGTCCGGTGATTCCGCGCACCTAAGTACATCGATTGCAACACGGCAACTAACCATTTTGTTCTGGGGAGGTGTGTGTGTGTGTGTTGGGAGGGGGGAGTCACATTGTACATGCTTTTCGATAAAAATCATCATCACACACACGCACGCACGCGCACACACAACACCTACACCTACACACACACACACACACACACACACACACACACACACACACACACACATCTAGCCATAAATTATGATCGGCCCTTAAGCATATATCTCGGACCTTTGAAACTGGGAAGAAACACAACTGCTACCAACATATTAGCCCACGTGCATGTTGAAACAGAAGTTACATATACCAAGTAAATACAATTCTCACTTCTTGTCGTTATGTCATCCGATATCATTCGGAAGGATGTACGAAAAATATTCAGTGTGGATGACTCTCTTTCGAAATGATACCCCGAAAGAGATGCCATTGCAACCCTGGCTAATACTACGGGACCGAAAATGACAACATACATTTGACTATTATAATGACGGTGGATTGTTTGTTTGGCTCAGGGCGTCATCTTAGCCTTGATGGACGTTACAGAGTTACAGTTACTACTCATCACCTCCATATGCCCAATCTCTAAAGTTGTTCTGTAAGATCTGTACATATGTCGTCATACACTGTAGACGTTATGTATCGTCAGATTAGGTTTTCGGACGGTACTGTTTACTCTCGTTCTGATGCGGCGGGTTGCGTCACACAGGTATCGTACATGCTGCAGGATGCTGGCTGGTGTTTTTGAAACTTGTCAGTAATAAGTCAGGGCTATGTTTGACAGTTGTCCATGCAAAGATCGACAAGACAGTGGGTGTTCTTAAGCGTCCAATTTTATAAGCATCCACGAGGATTTCTGTTGTAGTTTAATTCCGTTATACTATGGACGCTTTTAAAGCGATTGCTTTCCTTAATTTTCTGTTAATTGTTCTTGTTGAATTGTGTGTTTGTTTTCGGCTGCTACTGTTTACAGTCTTACATTTATCCCTTGATAATCAATCAATTCATGTAATAGATCGAGAAATGTTCCTCATTAACTCATCCTCGATAATCGCCAGGGTATACGTTCCGATAAATTTCGGGATGCAACATTACTGTTTCAACTTTGATTCAAATTGAACTTAGACCTTTATTGTGGTTCGTTGAATACAATCGTCTTTAAAATTATATAATTTCGTGCTTTCAAGTTTACACAGATTCCCGAACGTTGGTTGGTTGAGAGAGCGGTCATGTGATCTAAATTTCAAGGTTCATTACTCTTGAACCCCTCTAATAGCTCATACTTGTGTAAACACCGTTCATACGTGTGTGAACGTTTTTCGCTTCGGTTTCAAGGACCCCCAATAATTGGTGATACCAATTTCGCGAACGAACCTGTTTCAAGTCACCCCAAGTTTGGCAATGTCACTAACAAACGGATTGCCGAAACATTGTTCCTTTTCACAGGAGTTTAATGTCTCGCAGTTTGCGGGTTCATCCGGCGGTTTTCTGCCCCGAGGTCTGTTTAACAACTGCTCAATAAATCTCACAATAAACAATCACAAATAAATAGAATACAACAAGATCTGTTTCCTATTCGCCACGCCGCACAACTTCGAAGTCGGTCAGTGTATTATTACGCGGTCAAACAAGGTATTTACAAGTGAAAAGGTACAATGCCAGTTAGTTAAAATGGTATTGTTATTGCTTCTGATATTTGTTTCTGTTTGATACTGTTATTGATTATACTTATTAAAGCAGTTTCAAACCTCATAACGAATTTGTTGTTATATTTTAAAGATCGAATACTTTGAGAACTATTTCTTCAAGGGTTGGGATACATGTGTAAAAGAAAAATCGCTGTTTATACAAACATCGCTGCAATACGTACGTTCTTGAACCGAATGGCATTACAACATTTTACAGGTATTAAAACACACTAAACAATGATCATCTACAAGTGGGTGGAAAACGTATGTGTATACTTCAAATTGCGAAATTATAAGAAATGAATGTCAGTTTGTGTGTTTGCACTGAAAAAATGAACGATGTCAAAGCGTTGTTCAAACTCGCGCGTGAACTCGCTCGTTCACACGAGTTTGAACACCGCTTTGACATCGTTCATTTTTCAGTGCAAACACACAAACTGACATTCAATTCTTAAACAATTTTGCATAATGACCGATAACCACTTTTATTTGCTCAAATGTATGTACAAAAAAAGTGACATTAACTACATCAAATATCAACGTGATGTTTTGTAAAGTAGGCCTATGTGTTCATCAACTTCACTAAACGTTTCACAATCAACATAGATCCTTTGACAACACGACTTTCCATGCACGTGTACAAGATCTTTTTAATCATCCATGTAATGTTGACCTATGAATAGACAGTTATAATCAAAACCAATATGTATTTCATTTGAGACCCGCAAGTCACGCTGTCACCTCCCTGCTAAACTGGTTTCTGATTCCCTTTGCGATCGCGCTAACTTTTCCGATATGCGAGACGGGACCCAGCTTACTTCCCTGCTGGCTCTCTTGACGTGGAGTTGATGACGGAGTTGTTCTATAAATAGAGCTACAGTCAATCGATTCATATCAACAAGAATTGTTTCGTATAAAGCTGTCCCTTGTGCAATTTTCAGTTATTACTCTTCGGACATATATATTTGCGAGACGTACACTACACTCCGGTCGATATCAAGCTGGTTATTATTATGCGAACGAGAGCAAAAGTTTCCATTCGAACGATGTCACATCTCAAATGATTTCATCCTGATGTTCTGATGCGAGTTGGAGTTACTCCCCTTTGATAATATGGCTGGGGTAGGCGTACTTTAAAGCAATATGTAAAGGATTACATTGACCAATTTACATTATGTGTGTGGAAAATAAGGCCGATATAATTCATTTTGTATCATTTAAGCTGTATGTGGATATTGTTTTTACCTAATTATCGGCACAAGCGTAGAACACTCGACACTGCTTATCATTTTCAACCATAGACAAATGTGTCGGCGAAGCTCTTGTTTTTAATGTATATTTCAATGTACGCGTTTCACGAATGGTCATTGGAACACGTTAAGCAAACACTGTCATCATTGAAGCTGTTTCTGTCATAATGATAAACTTTGATTCTTGACTGAGAGCTATACTGCCAATTGGGTTTTCATTCGCCTGCCAAAGAAGATGATACTAATTATGAGAAATTGTCATAAGACATGAGTCCTAGTCGTGCTTTTTCACTTTAATGTAATCCTTCCATATTTACTCATTGCTGGATCTCGTATGGCTCTCTGAATAAGGCTAGTTTTAATTGTAGGTAAAACAGTGTAAGCTCGAATAACTTGATGATAGGTAAAAATGTGCGTATCTATGGATAAGGCCTCCTTCCAAGTTTAGAAATGAGATAGGGCTGTATACAAGTTTGCACTTCATCACCTGGATGACATAGCCAGTGTTTTTATATTTGCATGATCATAAATTAATCTGTATGACTTACTGATTCTTATTGAACGCAAGTGTTACCTTGAGACTAGTGAACCTGCACAAAATGAAAAAATGAATACAAACATTATTGTTTAAGACAGGTGAACTTTTATGGGTAAAGTAACAACAAAACATTTGCATGTCACAATATGAAGCCAAGAACCTTATGTGTTCATCTTGGAAGTGTTACAAGTGTATGTTGAAGGAAGGGATTGTCCACTGACACTCTATGACAGTCCACAAGTTGTTCAGTTGATTACAACTTTATGGTTTTTTTTGGCATATTCTTAATTGTGTTGAAACATTCTTTTTGCACATATGTACATTGACTTTCCTCGGGTCTATCCAGATGTATAAGTCTGTCAAGTGTCCCAATGAGGAGCTGTCTCTCACAAACTGCGCCATTACAAGCCCCAGTGACTTCCAAAATGGCCAGTGAGTATACAGATTTGTTGTGACATATGGCAGTTGCATGGGTTATAGACTCATAGAGCCTGTGTTTTGATTCATCAATCTTGTAGAATTGCTGAAGATCAGTTCTAACCCAGATCTTTAGAACCCTCATGATTAACGCTATGGCTGCTATGTCTCCTATCGTAATTCAGTTCAACAGGGTCTGCTATTTGGAGGAACCAAACTAACTGTTGGAATGAAGGAATATTCTTGTAATTGCAATACAGCCTTCAGCTGTACAGTTGAGCAGGGCAGATTAAATAACCCTATATTTATAGTGGTGTGTGAAATTCAACAAAGATTAAAGAGGAGGAATCAAAAATAAATAATTTAAAGTATTGAAATATGCATCATGTGGGTATTGTTATTTTCAGACATATCCGGGTGACAGTTTCCCCACATGCTCAGTTTCTGTTCACCACCATGCCTGATCCCAGTATCAGTGCTGGCAGGATTGGCTTCAATGCCATGCACGTGAGTTGCTTGTTGTAATCTGCATTCTTGTGTATGTGTTTAGCTTACCGGGACCTGACCGCCTCCGTGGTGTAGTGGTTAGAGCGTCCGCCCGGAGAACAGAAGGTCGCGGGTTCGATCCCCGACCGCGTCATGCCAAAAGACGTTAAAATATGGTACTTGTTGGTCCCTGCCTGGCACTCGGCATTAATGGGTACAACAACGACTAGTCGGTTCGGTGTCAGTATAATGTGTCTGAGTGGGGTATTCATGCTTCACTGCGGCATGGTATCTCAGTGGGCTAGCACTATAAAACCAGCTTAAGTCTGGGCTAGTACAAGCAGCCGCACATACACATACACACGCATGCACCTCATCATATGGGCGAAATATTCTCAAGCACGACGTTAAACCCAATTTCACCTCACCTCACCTTACCGGGACCAAGGTCCAACTGCACATTTTGCATGATTCATTGTCTTATGACCATAAGGCTTTTTCCTTGAGGGGCGGTGGGGTAGCCTAATGGTTAAAGCGTCTGCTTGTCATGCAGATCCAGGTTCGATTCCCCACATGGGAACAATGTGTGAAGCCCATTTCTGGTGTCCCCTGTCATGAGATTGCTGGAATATTGCTAAAAGGGTTGTAAAACCATACTCACTCACTTTTTTTCTTTGACTTGGGTGAAGGGATGAGCCATCACTTTGATGAGGAATATGGAGTAACACTCAGCTTCTGTTGTAATGATGGTATATTCTTGCTAATCAGGCATTTTTGACTCTTTTTTCTTTTTGTTTTGTCAGTCACATGCTTCAACTTACCTGTTGTTTGTCTATACATACTGAATCACAGATAGACATTTATTCTTAATTCATGGTTGTCACGTGATTGCCGTAGTACAACTTAACCTTATCACTTTGACTGTTGCAAGTCATTGTCAAGGTCTGGGACTTATGATCATCTTAGCTTTAAGACGGCTTGGAACAGGGGCACAATGGACCCTAAACACTGAAACTGCAAGTACCCACATATATGTGTGTGTTTGCAGAGGAAGTGGGCCAGCATCACCCTGAATGCAGATCTACCTGTGGAGGTAGTGAAGCTGGACACTCGCAGGCAGACAGTCGGCTCCATTGTGCTGGAGGTGGACTTCCTCAACAAGAAAAAGTAAGTACACTTCTAAGATGCCTAGCAGTTAGAACAATCGAAAAAAACAAACATTATCAGACAATAAAGGTATAGTTTTTTGATGACGTAACAATTGAATGACGTTATCCCGTCACTGCGCCATTCTAGTGTGCCCCTTGTAATCGAACCATTTTACATTACGTCACAATGTAAGCGACGTCACGATACATGTCAGTTGTCATTGCTTCGTACGGCCTCCTACAGTAAACTACTCCGTTGCATCCCGTTTCTTGGTTTGCAGTTGCTTCACGCAGCTAACATCCCTGGTGGAAACATTACGTTTATGTTTACGACGGTTAAAATGTGTCAATTTGACTCACAAGTTTTCAGCAAAATGGTAACGTTCGCAATGTTTACATTCCCACAATGCAATCGTGGAATGTTGCTTGACTTCTCAGCTTCATCTGGATGTATCTAAACTTACGTTGGTAGTAGAAATGCGACGTTCATATTGCCCGATATGGTTTACATTAATGACAGATGTAATTAAAATATTTCAGAGAAGATATTTAATCCGAACGTAAATCGTCATCAAACTGTTATCATTTGTTTTTTTCTGGTAACGTTCGTCTTAACGTAGGGGGCAGACACATCAATAGAACAGCGCGCCAGTTAGCCCTGTGCGAGGATTCTTAATTTAGGTCGTCGACACCGTCGTTTGTTTTCTGCCTTAGATTAATCGTAATTATCCTTAGAAAGTATTAAATTTGGCTTCTTAGAAAAGAAATACAGTTCGCTCTACCACCATGTATAGTGTAATAAAACACACTTTTGCCCTGAACTATTATACTTTATAGTTAAAGTACGAGGGCGCTTGCGTCCGAGTGCTTTAACGTTATAATAGTTCAGGCGAAAGTGTGCTTTATTACACTATACATGGTGGTAGAGCGAACTGTATTTCTTAAATACAGACTCAGATACTTGGAAATTGCAATGTGTTGTGTCAGGAACAGTAATTAATTTCATGAATATCCAAAATAGTTTCTCCACAGTTATTGTTCACCTGACTGAACGTCACATAATCTTATTTTAATGCCCTGTTTTTCCAGTATCAGACTTCAGTTGTTAATTGCGTGTTGTCTCAATGCCTGTCATGGACATCTACCACCCAGAAACCAGCAGCTCAATGCCACTGAAACTGCACATGTTTCTTCCCACCACTGGTGACAGCCACAATTTGTTTAGGAGATTTGTTTCAACATGTCTCATATGTCACTCTCATTGAACAACCTATGTCCAGCCATATCTCATCTGCTTTTGTTCAGAGTGTAATTGAATTTGTAAATCCGTAGGAAGTTGTGAGGTTTAATTAATATATGCTCTATTTTGTAATATTCTATTTAAAATAAGCAGTGGACATATCAGAGTCAGTATACTGTGAATGGGTGTGTTTTGTCCTTTTTCATCTGATTGCTGAATTCCTCTGATGCTAGAATTTAAAAGTGCCTTGTTTTAGATGTTCTTCCATCAATTTTACAGTGCTTCATCAGAGTCATTTGACAGTGACAAGATGGCAGCAGAGTTCTGCATGAAGTTTGGCAGTCATGTTTTTACTCAGGATCAGCCACTGGCCTTCAGCTATGAAAAGAAATTGTTCTCTGTCCGTGTAAGAGAGCTGGAAGGTAGGCAAATTGGAGCACATACATGTATATTCTTTCAATAGTACTACACTTCATAGCATATACAGATGACAATCGTGTTGGTCCTTGTCAACAAAATGTTTTCTGCCAACAGTTATGCAGTGTCCTATTGCTAAACACTGTGACTAATCATATTCGTTATTAATTCCATTTTTGTTTAGTACAAATGGGTACAGTTGATACACTATCTGCAATGATACAGTTCTAATGTCACTACAAGGAAAGAATCAACCAAAGCTGTCAAATACCTATCAGCTGGCTAGTTCAGAATCGGATGTATTGATAGACCTTAGAATATGCAACTGCTCGCCAGTCATGTCAAAGCTCTAATACTAAGTTAAGGAGAGAGACAACTTCTCGTCTGCAAGGTTTTAGTATGAATAACCAAAAATACTATTGAAAACAACTCTTGCGTGTTAAATTCCACCTATTTCAAGCAGTGAAATATCCATGAAGTAATAGTCAAATTTGAGCAAATGTTTGTATTTCAGAAACTAAACATGCATGAATATTCTATGTTTACAAACACAATTCTCCTGAACATACAGTACATATGGATGGGAGCCTTTTTGTTCCCTGTTACAAGTTGTGTTTCTGTCAACAGTACATACAGATGACAATCCTGTTGGCCCTTGTTAACAGGTTGTGTTTCTGTCAACAGTATATACAGATGACAAATAATGTTGGCCTTAGTTAACAGGTTGTGTTTCTGTCAACAGTACATACAGATGACAATAATGTTGGCCTTTGTTAACAGGCTGTGTGTCTGTCAACAGTACATACAGCTGACAATCATGTTGGCCTTTGTTGACAAGTTGTGTTTCTGTCAGCAGTACATACAGATGACAATCATGTTGGCCTTTGTTAACAGGTTGTGTTTCTGTCAACAGTACATACAGCTGACAATCATGTTGGCCTTTGTTGACAGGTTGTGTTTCTGTCAACAGTACATACAGCTGACAATCATGTTGGCCTTTGTTGACAGGTTGTGTTTCTGTCAACAGTATATACAGATGACAAATAATGTTGGCCTTAGTTAACAGGTTGTGTTTCTGTCAACAGTACATACAGATGACAATCATGTTGGCCTTTGTTGACAAGTTGTGTGTCTGTCAACAGTACATACAGATGACAATCATGTTGGCCTTTGTTGACAAGTTGTGTTTCTGTCAACAGTACATACAGATGACAATCATGTTGGCCTTTGTTGACAGGTTGTGTTTCTGTCAACAGTACATACAGATGACAATCATGTTGGCCTTTGTTGACAGGTTGTGTTTCTGTCAACAGTACATACAGATGACAATCATGTTGGCCTTTGTTGACAGGTTGTGTTTCTGTCAACAGTACATACAGATGGCAATCATGTTGGCCTTAGTTAACAGGTTGTGTGTCTGTCAACAGTACATACAGATGACAATCATGTTGGCCTTAGTTAACAGGCTGTGTTTCTGTCAACAGTATATACAGCTGACAATCATGTTGGCCTTTGTTAACAGGTTGTGTTTCTGTCAACAGTACATACAGATGACAATCATGTTGGCCTTTGTTGACAAGTTGTGTTTCTGTCAACAGTACATACAGATGACAATCATGTTGGCTTTTTTAACAGGTTGTGTTTCTGTCAACAGTACATACAGATGACAATCATGTTGGCCTTAGTGGACAAGTTGTGTGTCTGTCAACAGTACATACAGATGACAATCCTGTTGGCCCTAGTTAACAGGTTGTGTTTTTGTCAACAGTACATACAGCTGACAATCATGTTGGCCTTTGTTGACAAGTTGTGTTTCTGTCAACAGTACATACAGATGACAATCATGTCGACAAGTTGTGTTTCTGTCAACAGTACATACAGATGACAATCATGTTGGCCTTTGTTGACAAGTTGTGTTTCTGTCAACAGTACATACAGATGACAATCATGTTGGCCCTTGTTAACAGGTTGTGTGTCTGTCAACAGTACATACAGATGACAATCATGTTGGCCTTTGTTAACAGGTTGTGTTTCTGTCAACAGTACATACAGATGACAATCATGTTGGCCTTAGTTTACAAGTTGTTTCTGTCAACAGTACATACAGATGACAATCATGTTAACAAATGTGTTTCTGTCAACAGTACATACAGATAACAATCATGTTGACAGGTTGTGTTTCTGTCAACAGTACGTACAGATGACAATCATGTTGACAAGTTGTGTTTCTGTCAACTACATACAGATGACAAACATGTTGGCCTTTGTTGACAAGTTGTGTTTCTGTCAACAGTGCATACAGATGATAATCATGTTGGCCTTTGTTAACAGGTTGTGTTTCTGTCAACAGTACATACAGATGATGATCATGTTGGCCTTTGTTAACAAGTTGTGTTTCTGTCAACAGTACTGGACTTTACAGCTGTCAAGGAGAAGATGGAGGGAAAGCCAAGAAAAGTAATTATGATCCTCTTAAAGAATGTGTCTTCAGCTGAAGTAGATATGCAAGCATGTAGATATTACTGACCAGACCTCTTTATGAGAGATGTTTTGAACTGTTTTCATTTAGTGTGGTATGTAATATGTGTTCTATATACTTGGTTATTGATGTCACTAAGAATTAAAACATTGCTGCAGTTTGTCCCCTAGTATGTAAGAAATCCTTGGACCAACCTTTGTCAGAAAACTGTTGTATGTTGTTTTTGCTGCTCACAGAGAATGGTGATGCAAACACCAGTCAAATCTTTGTTATGTAGAAATTCGGGGAAATTTGCTGTAAACATTTTCATCTAACATTGACTCAAGTGCAAACCATATCAGGCAACTCTTTTATTTGCAGGCTGACAAAGGCATGTTGACACCCAACTCTGCAGTTATCTTTGAGAAAGCAGAAAATTCTATGCTGAATCTCAAAGGAAAATCTAAAGGGTATGTGGACTCCAACTTTATAAATGTGATGTGTGATCTCTGTGTTAGCAGTGTTCACGTCGCGAATAGTGTCTGACTCTCTGACAAATCCGGCAGATTCGCCAATGGTCCGATAGAAGTCTACAACCCACCGGCCCCAGTGTCCGACTGTATATTTCACAATGACTTCGACAGAAGTTGTTATATTTGACATGTGACACTTGCTTGCTGTTTATTTTATCTTAAGTTTTCTTATGTTTGTAAATAATTTCAATGCCAATTATAAGAAATGTTAAATCTGAAATGTGTGTTTAATTTTATTCCATGGGTCCTGTGAATTTTCAATGGGTCAGACAGACATCTTAAACTTACAGGACCCAATGTCTTGTTACTTTGAAACACCATTCGCGAACACTGTGTTAGTGCTCTGTGGGGAACCAGGATAAAATGTGCCTGAGCACCCTATTGCTAGTATGTTGAAATAGTATATATACATGTCCATATTAGGAAAATACTAATACTCAAACAGATTGTTGCATTCCTTTAGTGTTTTGTCTCCAGAAAATCAGCATATCAGTCAATCATCAATCCAGACTGGGACTTCAACAAGATGGGCATAGGTGGCCTAGATAATGAATTCTCAGCCATATTCAGAAGGGCATTTGCATCGCGAGTTTTCCCTCCTGATGTTGTTGAGCAGATTGGTAAGTTATCAGCCTATAAAATGCACATGCAGATCTCAATAATAGCTTGTCATGACCCTTAAGTGAACAGGCAATAACAGTAATTATAAAACCTCATCAAATATGCTCAAGGTTCGAAGCAAAATGAAAAAATAACCAGCTTAAAGTCTGTGAATGTTCCATATACCTCGTATAGTTTGGATCTTTAAAGGAAGTTGTACTTTTGTTAAGATTATCTTAAAGTTTATAGTTGTCATTTCCTTTAACTGTGTTGAAAAGATTATTCTTACAAATGTGTTTTATGTTATGTAATATTTGAAAATATAATGAAACTACTTCATCATGTTTAAGAATCCATGTGAATGTGATCACAGGTATGAAGCATGTCAGAGGCATATTGCTGTTCGGCCCTCCTGGAACTGGCAAGACCCTGATGGCAAGGTGAGTCAGACCATAATGGAAATGTGAGTCAGAGCCTGATGGCAATGTGAGTCCCTGATGGCAAGGTGAGTCAGACCATAATGGAAATGTGAGTCAGACCCTGATGGTAAGGTGAGTCAGACCATAATGTAAATGTGACTCAGACCCTGATGGCAAGGTGAACCAGACCATAATGGCAATGTGAGTGTGAGTCAGTTGCTGATGGCAATATAAGTCAGTTACTGATGGCAATGTGAGTCAGCTACTTTGGGAAGTGTGAGTCAGGTACTGATGGTAATGTGAATCAGTATTACGTTTATTGGCTCTTATTTGGACATACAGTGGAATCTGTCTATTACGGACTGGCCTGGAACTGACTCATTTGTCCGGATTGTAAAGCAGTCCGTATTAGACAACTTTTGTCCGTTACCCGTAGACACTGCCACGATGAGTTACCGCATACTACAGTAAATAAGCCGAATTTTGAGGACCTAAAAACAGTACCTAGAAGGTGGTCGGCTTATCTATGGGTTATCTTGTGGTCTGAGTTGGCCGCTATTAGGACCCCAACAGATGTAACGGAGATGTTTATTCAGCAGACTGTTATTTTAGTGAGCTAAGTCCGGATTACAAGGCATTGTTCTCATAGAAAACTGAATTACACAGAGTCCGGATTTGACAGATTCCACTGTAATGCCTGAAGGATGACAATGTTTTCTTTTATTTCTTTTCAGACAAATAGGAAAGATGCTGAATGCTCGGGAGCCAAAAATTGTGAATGGCCCTCAGATTTTGGACAAGTATGTAGGTGAATCAGAAGCAAATGTCAGGAAGCTGTTTGCAGAGGCCGAGGAGGAAGAAAAGAGGGTAAGACTGTGTAGCTTTGTGTAACTCCAGGTGAAATGTGCACATCTTATGGTCTCTTTCGTAATCACACAACAACATTTCGCTTGTTTGTTCACAATTGTATGATGTTTCACTGAAAGATCAAAGACGATGACTGCACTTTAGGCAGCTATAAAGTATGTTTTTTATTTGCTTAGTGACTGACTCATATTCTTTACTTACCTCTTATCATCTTATATGCATACTTGCCTTACTCTACGAAAACAGACTGCAGAAGTCGAGATCGAAAGCTTGCTAACCTATAACTCGCGAAGGTGGTTCGATTGAAGACATCCGGGTGACCGGTAAGGTCACAGCAGTCTATCACGTGCCCACGTGAACAAGTCATTCCTTTCTTATTCGTGTACCGAATCAGACGTGGATCGAGATCCTAAGACTTGTAGTTTTTACTGTGGGGGTATTGTGTCCCCTGTGTTTATACCCCCGCTACGACGTAACGGGGGTATATAGCGTTCATTCTGTCCGTCCGTCCGTCCGTCCGTCCCGAAACTTTGTCCGGAGCATATCTCTTAAAGTTTACATGCTAGGTTCACCAAACTTCACACACTTAGTAATCATTACCCATTTATGTGCCTTTTGCTATTTTAAAGTTTTTTCAGAATTTAGTTTTTTTGCTGTTTCCATGGAAACATGATTTAGGCTGTGACTATGAGGATGTCATCTTGTCCGGAGCAGATCTTCCAAACTATACATGCTAGCTTCATCAAACTTGGTACACATATCAAGCATGATCCCTAGATGTGCCTTTTGGGGTTTAGATCCAGATATGAATTGTATTTTTTGCTTTTTCCATGGAAACACGACTTAGTGCCAAATGTGTTTGATTATTTTGTCCAGAGCATATCTCTTAAAGTTTACATGCTAGGTTCACCAAACTTCACACACATGTTAATCATTACCCATTGATGTGCCTTTTGCTATTTTAAAGTTTTTTCAGAATTTTGTTTTTTTGCTGTTTCCATGGAAACACGACTTAGGCTGTGACTATGGGGATGTCATCTTGTCCGGAGCAGATCTTCCAACCTATACATGCTAGCTTCATCAAACTTGGTACACATATCAAGCATGATCTCTAGATGTGCCTTTTGGGGGGTAGATCCAGATATGAATTGTATTTTTTGCTGTTTCCATAGAAACACGACTTAGTGCCAAATATGTTCGATTATTTTGTCCAGAGCATATCTCTTAAAGTTTACATGCTAGGTTCACCAAACTTCACACACATGTTAATCATTACCCATTGATGTGCCTTTTGCTATTTTAAAGTTTTTTCAGAATTTTGTTTTTTTGCTGTTTCCATGGAAACACGACTTAGGCTGTGACAATGGGGATGTCATCTTGTCCGGAGCAGATCTTCCAACCTATACATGCTAGCTTCATCAAACTTGGTACACATATCAAGCATGATCCCTAGATGTGCCTTTTGGGGTTTACATCCAGATATGAATTGTATTTTTTGCTGTTTCCATGGAAACATGACTTAGTGCCGAATGTGTTTGATTATTTTGTCCAGAGCATATCTCTTAAAGTTTACATGCTAGGTTCACCAAACTTCACACACATGTTAATCATTACCCATTGATGTGCCTTTTGCTATTTTAAAGTTTTTTCAGAATTTTGTTTTTTTGCTGTTTCCATGGAAACACGACTTAGGCTGTGACTATGGGGATGTCATCTTGTCCGGAGCAGATCTTCCAACCTATACATGCTAGCTTCATCAAACTTGGTACACATATCAAGCATGATCCCTAGATGTGCCTTTTGGGGGTTTAGATCCAGATATGAATTGTATTTTTGCTGTTTCCATGGAAACACAATTTTAACTTAGTGCCAAATATGTTTCGATTATTTTGTCCAGAGCATATCTCTTAAAGTTTACATGCTAGGTTCACCAAACTTCACACACATGTTAATCATTACCCATTGATGTGCCTTTGCTATTTTAAAGTTTTTCAGAATTTTGTTTTTGCTGTTTCCATGGAAACACGACTTAGGCTGTGACAATGGGGATGTCATCTTGTCCGGAGCAGATCTTCCAACCTATACATGCTAGCTTCATCAAACTTGGTACACATATCAAGCATGATCCCTAGATGTGCCTTTTGGGGTTTACATCCAGATATGAATTGTATTTTTTGCTGTTTCCATGGAAACATGACTTAGTGCCGAATGTGTTTGATTATTTTGTCCAGAGCATATCTCTTAAAGTTTACATGCTAGGTTCATGCTAGGTACATGCAAAATGTATTTGATGGTGACCTGACCACGGCATATCATCGCAACTATACATGCTAGGTTCACCAAACTTAATACACAAGTTAATCATGACCCACAGATATGCCATGTGCTAAAAAATAGCAATCTTCATCTACGTCCATTGTGTGCAACATGACACACTCAAGTTCAATTACATGTCAGGTTTCCACGGAAAACACAAAAAAATCTAGTTTCCATAAATTATTACCATAATCAGTACATGCCAAAACTATTATCTAACATTTATATAAAGTTTAGTAGAGTCAAAGAGAAAGTCTTGTGAGCTGCTGATCCTTGTCACATTATATATATCAATATCAGTCATTTCCATGTCCCAAAGTGGGAAGCGGGGGTATGTGAGCTTTGCTCACTTCTACACTTGTTCTTATTTGCTATACTTCTGGTATGTTTTAAGTTTGCTAACTTTGTTAGGACGTACTCACCGGAGTTGAGTTCCTCGTTCTTGTTTTTTTCTCGCTCGCTAGTTTTTCTCTTCGCTCTCGCTTCGAGTGGAGTTTGTGGTTTGTGGTGGGGTATCCGGGACTTGTGTCCTTGGATATCTCTTTTCGGGCTCCCATTCATCCCTCCTAGAGTGGGTGGGAGTTTTCGCGGTGTTTATTTTGCTTTTTCACTTCACCTGCGTGCCTCGTGTTACTGCCAAAATGGCGGTCCCACGTGACTTGCCGGTTTAGTCTCCCTGTCTGGATTGAGCAGGGTAGTGTTTGCGACTTGTTTGTCCCTGCAGCCCCAGGCTGTTCGTACATGTTTTCGCTTGTCGCTTGTCAATAAATTGTTGTTCTGCTTGTGTTTTAGAGCGCTGTATGCCACGGCCTCATTGCATAAAGTGTAACGGTCTCAAGTCGTACAGGGACCCACACTCTTGCTGTTTGAATTGCACTTCTCAGTGCACGTGTGGGACTCCAGGTGTTGGGAGTGCGATCGGCTGTCCCTTGATTTCTTCAAGGCTTATTTGCGTGTAGCTAAGAAGAGGCTTACGCAACAGAGACTACGCAAGAGAATGTCGTCTACTGCTGTGGAAGACTTGGGGGAGCCGTCTGTTCCCGCATCTACCCCGATTTCGTCTGGCGCACCTACCGGTACGCCTTTGAGTTCGCCACCTGTGAATACGGCGCTTCGTGTGTCAACCGAGGGTTCGTCAGTGTTCCCTTTGGGGTTGGACCCGTCTATCAACGGCGCACCTGTTGGACAGGGCGCACTGATGGGACAAGCTATACCTGTTGGACAGAGTGTACCTCTCACCGGTGGCGTATCAACTGGCATTGGCGCACCCCTTCAGACTTGCGCACCACAACAACAACGCAGTTTACAGCCTATGTCTGGCGTACCGCAACAGTTCTCTACTGCACAGGCCAGTGGTTTGCCGAACCAGAGAGGTTTTTATCAGGCAGGTGTGCCTCAACAGGTGGGGAATTATCCACCTATGTTCCAGAATTTTGGTATTCCGCAGAATTATGGTGCACCTCCTATTCAGGGGTTTGACCCGAGTGTCATCTATAATTTTATGAACTCGATGTTTCAACAGTCGCAGCAACACTCCCAGATGGGACCACCAGCCCCCCCGGGGCCTGCTGTTTTACCTTCATCATCCCCTCAAGAGTCTTGCCCTGCAACACCGGATGTAGTAGGTCAGTCTACTCCACTTCCTCCACCTCCTTCCACTACTTTGGATCGGTCTTCAAGGTCGTCCAAGAGGGACAATAAGGGCTCTACGCGTTCAAGTGACAGAAGTAGGTCGGCTATTTGTTCACCTTGCTCTGAGAAGGATTTTCGTCCAGATTATGACGAATCTTTGGAGGGTCCGGAGATGTTGGACCAACCTCATTCCGACACTCATTTAGGCATTGAGGCAGTGTTTGATTGGATGGCGGATAGACTGCAGACTTCTTGCCCTTCTCCAGCTGCAGGGGTGGATAAGAAGCTCACTATATCGGACTCACCCGATCTTCGTTTTCCGCTTCACCCTATTGTCCGGGACTTGGTTGACTCTCTGGATGAGGAATTTGCTAAGTTGTCTCTGAATCATAACTTCCGGGCGGCTAAAGCGCATAGGGGTGATTATCCTATTCACTCCTTGGATTTCTCTGACCAGGCCGCAGTTCACGATGAGGAATTGGATCGCCTTTCGTCTACTCCTGTCTCCTCGTATAGGGTTCCTGACTCCAAGTTGGCTGCTATTGATACGGAATTGAAAAGAATGCTCCGTCCCTTGTCGGCCTTTGCCTCGGCTACGGAGGCCATTTCTCAGGATTTGGAGGAAGATAATGGTTCAAGGATTGACCATCTCACAACAATGATGCGTTGGCAATCTCGCACTTTGGGGGACATTGTTGGTCATGTTCGAGTTGCGTTGGCCAATACCACGGCAGTGCGTCGATCTGGTTTTCTCTCGGCATGTGCTTGGGAACCGGAGTTCACAAGGAAGTTGCTTCATCAGCCTTTTTCTGCTCGGTGCCTGTTCAATGATGCCATAAGGGGGATTTATAAGGAATATTCGTCCTTTACAACCACGGAGATAGCCCTCAAGTCTTTTCGAGCCATTTGTAAGACAAATCCAGCGCCCAAGGCCAACTCCTATGTTGGCAAGCGCACCTGTGTCCGCCGGGCTGGCAAGTTCAGGCAAACCAAGGGACGACCCACCGGTGGTGCCCCAGGCAAGAGAGGTAAGCCCCTTGCCGTCACCAAAC